TAGAGGAAAAATCCTCTGCCCCCGTCGGGGATCGAACCCCGGTCGTCCAGCCCGTAGCTAGTCACTATACTGACTGAGCTATCCCGGCTCATATGATGCCTATACCTACCTTTAAGATATTCTTTACATTAGCAACCGTCAAATTTGATTTTGCAGCTTTAGCATCAAGCTGTCTTTCTATCTCTTCTTCCATATCACTCATTATTTCTGGCACATCATTATTAGTTGAACTCTCCTTCGATTCTCTGGAAGAAAAAAAAGAAAAAGAAAAAATCATCAAACAGGCACAAATACTCAGCTAAACAATGCATTATACTTCCTAGCCTTATTTCTCAGTGACACAAAAGAAACCGTCTTCCAGTCTCTTGTTCCGTCGTACACTTCTTTACGTTACTTTACATCAACTTAACTATATCCCTGATTATCTCGTATCTCTGGTTAATAATTTTTGCAAAAAAAAAAATAAAATATTAACTTGAGTTAATTCGGTACATTTTCTTTTTGTCTCACCATTAATATACCGAGTTATTTTGGGCCATGAAAAAAACACAATCTGCATGTCAGTAAATGGCAGACTGCTGTACTTTCATAAGCCATGTGTATTTATATATTTTCATGCTAGATGGTACACGAATACGTTAACGTTTATGCTTCTGTAGCATGTGCTAGCTGCGGTGTAATCTGTGTGCTGTGACTTTGAAGACGTTAATTTTTAAAAATGGTTGAAAGTGACTTGAGATAACTCAGGTTATATAAAAATATTTTTTCAGTCCATTAAATATTTTTCATCAAAACACAGATCAATAATTTCACTTTTGTTGGTAAATTCCAACACGAAATGAAAAATATGATTCTTTTGGGTCATGTTTTCAGAAAAAATTAATCAGAGAAGGGGTTAAAAAAGTATTATGCAGCATCAGACCAAAAATGAGAAGTAGTGAGCCAGGAAGGATCGGATGCAGTTTGGCTTATCTTAAAGAGTATCAGCAATTACCCAGAAGTACAAGAATAAAACCATCAGATATGTCAGACCAGCAGTAAACCATGAGACTGGTTTCCTGGAAATACACAGAATTATTCTCGGCCTTGTAGCTGGCCAAACTGAAAAAAAAATGTGGTTCAATTCCACACACATCAACTGCACATACCCGCCCCCACCCATTACACATTTTTGTAGTCTTTGAAACTGCTAAACCGCTAAACCATCAGCATGATTACTTACACTCCCCCACCTTGCACCTTATACAGACATTACCTCGGTTTAAACATGGCACAAATATAAGAACTAAGTTTTCAGTTTTGTAGATAATAAGAAACTTGAATCTTAATTAAAGGCATCATATAATGTAATAATATAATAAAAAACACAATATCTGCCCACTGACTGGATTCTTCTGTGCTGAACGAGACAGGAAAATTATTGTGAATTTCAAATACGAAAAGATGTCGCAGGGGACTATCATTGCTTATTTTGGTGTTCTGGAAAGACTTATGAAAATCAAGAAAACTTCAATCAGGATAGCTTCTGCCAAGACTTAAGTTATTTGCTTCAGCAAGGAGATTATGAAAACAATGGTTACAACCCCAAAAATCAGTCTTGGGCTCAGGTCCCAGTGAAAAATCATTTCTTTATAACCCAGAAATCAAGCATCACAGAAAAACATCACTAAGCATCTGTCAAATTTTCCGACAGTAACACTGCGGGCATTTTGCTAGTTACTGCATCAACTTACAAATAAGTAATAAAACTCACCTCTTATGTTCTCTGCTACTTGACTCTGCCACTTCATTCTCTGATGTAACTATTTCTAATGCCTCTGAAGAGCCACCATCTGAGGACTCATCATCAAACACTTCCAGCTTAAGTGTCAATGACTCATCTGTTTTGTTCTTCCAAATGGGGCAGTCTCCAAGAGATCTACGCTCCTCAGTATGAGAGTAGTTATCCATATTGTTAGTAATATTTAGAAAAACCATAGCTCCATTTCACTCATCACTTGCAATCAACGCCAGTGTATGCAATTAGCATGATTGTAAATCCTGAAAACAATACAAAACTATGAGCACGTAACGTGATTATTTTTTTCACACTGTCTATTGTCAAACGCTTAACAACCCTGATAAGCATAATCCATATACACAATTGTGAAAACCTCAATTCTTATATAAATTTACAAAATATGCAAGAACTTTGGTAACAGATGTCACACAGTTGTATGATAAACTGGATCAAAGGCAGATCTATAAAAATGGAGGGCCCCTGTACGTTGCATACCAACTGTAACATGCCATTAATATATCAAATCCCATAGATGCTATTCTCAAACGTCATCAAATTACGTAAGGTTAATTTCAAAGTCAATCTCACTGTAAACATTGATGAAAGACTCTCGGGTACCGCATCAGGTGGCTGAATGGTGAATAAACCATATCTTCTGCCGTTTCGAGAGCCATCTCTGCTCTCATCATCAGCACTACAAATGACCAGATTTGTTAAGCAGCAGCCCTGAGGATGAGAGCAGAGATGGCTCTCGAAACGGCAGAAGATATGGTTTATTCACCATTCAGCCACCTGACGCGGCTGGTAACCCGACAGTCTTTCATCAACTTCAGTCGCTGCAAAAGCTTCACTTTATACATGGACATGATGGTTTGTGGGCAGTTAACTTGGTCACATCAACCTCCCTTCTACATCATCTTCCCAACAGTATCAGCATTCTTAGAATGGTCTACTGCACTCTAAACGGCAAACTGTGTTATAACATCAGATTGCAAGCAAGGTATTGGTTCTGTCAATACCTTTAAAAACTGTAGTTCAGTACTGCACCTCAATTCATACAAATATACGGACAATCGCAAATATGAAAATTACATGATGGTCTATCTCATGACACTAAAAAATACATATGAATGCATATTCGATATTTATTCCTTAAAACGCATGCCTCCAATTACCGACTACCCAAATTAACACTAGTAATATGTTTGAAAAACTCACCAACAACAAATGCCCTTAAACTAATTATTCCGTCTGCCACACATTACCGCTTACATTTCCATCCATCACAGTCACAAACATCACAAAACCTAAATTACCTCCAGCTTATTTATAAATTCCCTCACAAATCCTAAATTCCCTGAACACATTCAGTGAATTTCTCAAAACTTCTGCGTTACCTCTATGTCAATATTATACGTTCATCTTTTAAAGAATAATATTTATTGCTATGTACTAATATCGCCATTTAAACTTCAAAATCCGTATACAGATTACGGCAATACATTCCAAAGATGAACCGAGTTATTTGTGAGTTGATTACCATCCAACGACTAGGCTCCATGGCATTTCATATACAGACGATGTTTTAGTTTAGCTATTAGATCGTGTCATTTTGTCAAACGAAACGTTTAGTGTTGTATATTTCAATAAATATGGACGTAGAAGACTACGATATCTCAAAACTAACTTCGAAGTTTAAAATTGTAAGTTTGTAATCCATTACGCCTTTTTGATGAAGCACAAGCGTATTATTTATGTTCTTGGAAAAAGTGCTTATAGATATGGGTAAACTATTAGGCGTGAGAGCAACTGTTGCGAGGGGCTCGTAACGGTCGCGGCAGAAGTCTTGGCACACGCCATACATTTCCCTCACTTTTCTCATCTAGAATGCAGTTCAAGTCGTGCAGTGAAGTCGAGTCATATGTTTTTTAATAACTATAGTTCTAATAAATTAGGAAACTGTTTCCCCTATTGCTCTATTAATTTCTGTCATGGTTGTGACCTCTGAAATCAAGTATTTATTTAAGGACCTCTTCTGTGATAGCTTCAAATTCCACCATTCTATGAAATGCTACTGTAATCCATTTCACCCATTACTAAAGCACTGAGCATGGGATTTCAAGTTTTCATGGCAGGGAGTATGAAGATGACTATTTACTGGGTTAGTGCACTATGTAGTCTTTAATAAATATTTCTTCCACAACTAATGAGACATTTTATTTGTGCAACAGGAGGCCATTAGGGAAGTTTTGAAACTGCATTTTGTAGATTCAAAAACGCGTATCACAGAAGATGTGCTGCAGCTCGTGGCAGAAGTTATTCGCATTATAACCACAGAGGCTACTTTGAGAGCAAGCAGGCAAGCCAGTATTGAGGGACTGGTAGAGGTACAGATTTTGCACGTAGAGAAGATACTGCCACAACTAGTGAGTCATGGGACAGTATATTATTGAAGTTTCTTCCTTATTTCATAGCATTGCCCAAGTCTTCATTCAGCTTCCCTTCTGATCCATTCTCCAGGGCTGATAATGTAATAATTACAAACTGATTCCATAGAGCAGAGTTCTTCAGAAGTTGGCAGTAAAAAAATTCCCCCTCCACTTATGGAACCCAAAATTTCATCACCATGTTTACAAGAATCTGCAGTCAAGGTCCCATGTTAGTTTTTCACAGTGAGGAGTTCATACCCTCCACCCAATACAGAGGACCACCCCCTGTCAGCTGTTTGCAACTGCTTATTCAATATACTTGCAGCCTCTCTTCATGTCTGGAGGCATTCTGTTCCATCTGCAACCGGATGGATGTGCCATCCTGTGCTGATAACGGACTTCGATTAATTTTATTTTCAGTAAACCTAATATACACCAATTAGTGCCTGTGGGCAAAATTCAGGTTAATCATGCCTCATTTCATTCATCGTCAGTTTGTATGATGCATGTCACCTGTTTAAATGCACTGGGCTAACATGATTCTTTGCACTTTTTTCCCCCAGATGCTGGATTTCATCTGACAGAGCCAAACAGTGAACCCCTAGCAAATAAAACTACACACAATTAACCGACTGCATCAGTTATACAGATTTACTATATATAAATTGTCGTTTTCTTCTTGAATTTCTTTGTAATGTTATGTAGCCAGTATATAAACAAATTTGTTCTTCTGTAAATATGGGAAAATATAATTTGTATTTTTTTATGAAAATATGCCATAAGCAAAGGTCTCGTGACAGGCTGATCACCTATCTAGGAAGTCCTGCTAAATGTCTAAACCGATTCACGATTTCAGGAGAAATTCTTAATTGGAACAGGCCATAAGGTCTAATCCATGAGTTGATGTTTCTTTACGCACGTGATATTTTTGTACTTGTATAGGGTCTACTCCTTGTAGTTCGTTGTGTCTGGATGCGAATGCAATAAAAGGAGAATGGAGATACAATTTTGAAACAAGTTTTATATTTTGTATACTTCTTCCTGTATTATAGTTAATCACATACTGAGTTGGACCAGACAAGCAGCGGGTATGAATGAGACGTGGAATTGGGGGGGGGGCAAATGCCCTAAATGCTGACATGTCTCTAGAAATTCATGAAAGGTTGGAAAATCTTCTGGACAAGACTTGAGGTTCTCACAGCGGTGAGTATGAAGATATCCGTCTTCTGGGTTATTGCGCTGTGTAGTCTGGTCGATGTTAACCAACGTTTCAGAGGTCATACTGCCTCCATCGCCCTGATGATGGAGGCAGTATGACCTCTGAAACGTTGGTTAACATCGACCAGACTACACAGCGCAATAACCCAGAAGACGGATATCTTCATCTTCTGGACACTATGCAAGACCTGAAGATGGGTTCTTAAACCAGAAACATGTCATCATATGTGAACTGAATACTAAGACATTACGTGATAATTTGTTGTGTAAAGATGGATAATAACAACATATAAAATATCACATACATCAGTGAACAATTATTTTCGTTCCACACTTCCTGGGCCACATACGAGAAGTTCAGAAGCCTGCAAGTATACAAAAAATGCAAATTCAGTTCATGGGATTTTTTTTACAATAAAAGACAGACTTACCATATAAACATGACTTCGTCTGTTCCCATCCCACCAATAGCTTTTCAACCAAATGGTAGAATTTGATGAAACTTGCCACTAGAGGGCACTGCATCTTTGTATGTTTACCGTCCAAAATCCTGGGGTAGGAACAACATCAGTGCCATTGCCATAAAATCTGATGTGGTGATAGACCTTGGAAAAAATGTGCAATATTTGTTCAGGTAATCTTTTGTAGAATGTAAGCAATGATATGGCATTTTGTAAGAATATTACAGATATACCTAAAAAATTTTGCACATAATTTTGATGTCATATCTGACAAATTTTACATGAGTCAGAATCTGTATCAGTGGGAACTGTCACTAAATTATATAATTATTGTTAATTTATAGTTCCTGCTACTCTTACAATACTTTGTTGTTATATTTGGTAAATTTAACATAGAGTCTGTAAACATGCAAATTATGCAAAAACAT